ATCTATCTATCTATCTATCTATCTATCTATCTATCTATCTATCTATCTATCTATCGGTTCGTCTGTCTCTTGTTCTCTATGTTTCCTCAACTCCTTTGCCCCCTCCTCGGGGCTTCTGACTCTTTCTGAAGCCTTTCTACTGCTATTCCTTGGCTCCTCCTTACTGCTGTCTTTCTGCCACTCCCCTGATCTTCTGGTAGGAAAGATCTACACCTAGCCTTCTCGGACAAGGGCAAAAAATCTTGGAGGGCCCGTGTGCAAGTTGCGCACGTTAAAGATCCCTTGGTGGTCTAATATCGATAAGAGTAGGCTTCGACCGCCACCCGAGCAAAATTCAAAATTTCCTACCAACTGAAAATATAAGGTGTGTCCCGCGTGCTCATATGACCTTATGCAGTTGCGAGCGCCGTAAAACACTTTGCAAAAACAAACAAAAATCTCTATGTTTCTGTCTCCTTCTCTCACTACTCTCTGTATAATATTACTGATGATAAAAAGGCACCACTTTTTGATGATGCCTTGGGGGGGGGGGCATTATCGTTTTTCTTTCACACAAGTAACACTGAGTACTCTAAAAAGTAGGTCGTGTTATGAAAATAGCAGAATGAAGCTTTAATTATTGTTCACAGGACAATGTTAAATTTAAAAAAACCTGGGTTTTTTTCCCCTGCGTGACAGAATTATTCTATTATTTGTTGTTGTTTTTTAAATTTATGTCTGCGTTTATCAGAACCCGCAATAACATTTGATTATTGACACTCACCCAAGAGAGACAGTATGTTTAACTCACCATCAAAGACATCGCGTCATCGTCATGCTCTGCGCAGGTCTATTGTTGCCAGGACAGTCAACGTCTGTTTTTCTGTTGACGCGAATGTCCTGGCAACTGTAGAAACACACCTTAATCCATCATACTTTAAAAAGAAGAATGATTTTGAAAAAAAAAAGTCTTTGGTTGAGTCTGGTCTAGATGACATTTGTGACGTAACGACGTCACCCGAAATATTAAATTCATTACTGTCTTCTTGCCCCAGTTCTCTAATTTTCCAATATCATCAACCATGTCAATACAGACGTTGTCAGAGCAAACAAAACTTATGTAATAAGACACTGCAGCGTCCAAGACATTGGAGATGCTCAAACTTTCATAACGCTACTTAAACCAGAGAGAATTTTGTTATTTGCCGTTCAATCAACCGCTTCCGTGGAAGTTATTTTCGTTTCTCATTCAATCGTAACGTGACCCGTGCGCCTACATGTTAAAGCACTCACTGAATGTGTCTTTCCGTTAAGCATCCATGAATCCTTGGCCGTTGTTACGCCTATCTTCGCTGCCATTTGAATGCTATTCGTTTACCCTTGGGAGAAATGTGATCAGTATTGATTTTTTTGTTGCTATAGTTTTTTTTACCTTCTAGACACACAGCGTATCGCGCTGAAGACAGAGCGTTTGGTCCAGTCAGAGAAAACAAAACGAAACGAGGCAAAAAAAAAAAACCCCGAGTGTCTGATAAAAAAAGTATGCGAGGAAAAACGAGCGTCTGAGAAGAAAATTATACGTGGAGAAAAACGACCGTCAGAGAAGAAGACGAGGGAAAAATAGAAGAAAATTCTGACACCAATTGAATTCCAGTCTAAAACATCTGTATGTTAACTTAAATAGTACACAAATTTGTACCCGTTGCCTGGGGGAAATATGAGAAGAGCATAAACAGGTTTCCTTCCAGCATAGCGGCATTGCCATGCTGGAGATTTCAAATATGAATATGTATTGATTATCGTCATCGATTACCACATCCATTATGTAAGGGCCCCATTCAAAGTTGGGTATGAAAGCCATCCAGATAACAAGAGGAAACATGTCCTACCGTGGCTTCAGATGAAACAGTTACTGCTACGGAACCATACCGAGCTTTAGCTCACTTTTTAATGGGTGTTTTTTTTTTACAGTTAGATATGCAAACAGAACTTTAAAAAATAAAATAACTCTTGTTCTCCTGACTCATGATACAAATAACGGCGTACACTTTTAACGGGGCTCGCGTGGCCTAAAGGTTAAGGTGTTGGCCTCTCATTCAAAGGTCCCAGGTTCGAATCCGGGTAGCGACCGAAAATGTTCTTCTCTAAAATTGTCTCCTTTCACCTCCTTTCCTGCTCTCTAGCAATATTCTGTCGTCTGCTTTCGTCTCCTCTTTCTGTCCCCACCCCCTCACCTCCTTTGCCCCCTCCACTGACTCTTTCTGCAGCCTTTCTACTGCTACTCCTTTACTCCTTCTTACAGCTGTCTTTCTGCCACACCCCTGATCTTCTGGTAGGAAAGATCTACACCTAGCCTTCTCGGACAAGGGCGAAAAATCTCAGAGGGCCCGTGTGCAAGTTACGCACGTTAAAGATCCCTTGGTGGTATAAAATCGATAAGAGTAGACTTCGGCCGCCACCCGGGCAAAATTCAAAATTTCCTACCAAATAAAAGTATTAGGTGTGTCCCGCGCTCTCATATGACCTTATGCAGTTGCGAGCGACGTAAAACACTTACCCCCCCAAAAAAAAACAACAAAAAAACACAAAAACCCCCAACCACTGTTAACTTAATGTAAGCCTTAGTTTAACAGTTTATTTCCTCTGTTAAGGTTTACGTTATACCAAAAAGGTTGTATATAATACTAGAGCTCGCAGCAGTGACATCACACGTGTCAGACATGGAGGCCTTCCACCCTCATAGGCACGGCCGGCGAGCTCCCATTTACATGAATAATCTGAGCCCCCACCCTGCTCCCCACGAGCTCTAGCCTATTAAACACGCCCTGCTCCCATATCTGCAGGCTTGTAGATTTCTTCCTAAGACCGCCGAGACGCTTCCACGTGAATCTCGAAAAGTACAATGTACCCACCAGTATGTTGAACGTGCATGTCTTGCACTTGAGTGGGCACACGCAGCCCCCGCCCCCTTTTTCCCTTTTTCGTCTTCGTGGGGGATCACTGTTACAAACTCTAGGTACTAAATACTACCTCTTTGCGTTATATGCAAACATTTCATTGCCTGAACTTGGTCATACTGCCTTACACTTACTTCCTCCCCTCACCTCTGGTGCCTTACACTATCTTTACCCCCCCCCCTCTAAAAAGACAACAGAAAACAAAACAAAAACAATACACCCCCCCCCCCGTAAAAACAGGCTCAACCTGACACAATATACATCTACATAAATAAACCATACACTGTCTCCCCCCCTCCCCAACCCAATTAGATGCATATCTCCGAACCGTGGTATTTTCTGCCATCCTCCTTCCCCTCCCCTCCCCATCCCCTATGGTATTATGTCATACGCTCTCTAATTAGTGCCATTATGCCAGAATTCAGCTATGGAAATCCCATCCTCTTACATTGTCATTGAATAATAATGTGTTGTGCAACCCCCCCCCCCTCCCACTTTCTTTTGTTGGTGCTGTTCGATAGTGACATGCTTTTACTATAAGTTGGTCATAAATTCGTGTCCCAACTTTTTGTCAAATATTTCCTAACCTATCGTAAATAGACTCTCCAGCTTTTGTACACTGACTTGTATCAGTTTGTCTTAACAGATCAATAATTTTGTAAACATCTGTTAGTTGTATTCTAGAAAGTTCCTTTTAATGAATACTAATAAAAATTCCTAGTGGTGGTTTCAGCAGATTTTAAAAGGTTTAAAAGTAAATCTGTCATTTTTTTTCCAGTCGTGACACTATCTTTATTGAAAACATGTTTTGAGAACCTTCTTGCAAAACATGTGTTCACTATAAACAAAAATTTATTGTAACAAGCTTTGCCACTAAAAAGTGTCATCGGTGAGCTGTGACTAAGGCCATAATATGCAACGCAAAACGTATGCGGGAAGTGCTGTGAACAAGTACATTTTCCGCGAGAGGGAGATTTTTAGAATAATATATAAAGTTATGAAGAAAACTTCTAATATAGCCTCAATTGTTGTGGAAAAACATGATTAAGATAAGACAAACTGATTCAAACTTTTATGTAAAAATAGTATCAATGGCATTGATTCTCCCGTTCAAGAAATATTTGAGGATAAATTGCGTCACAAATTTTTGATAGCACTATATATAGCTCTTCGCATGGTTGTTGTTATGTTAAGTTGCATTGTTATCTTAAATGTGTGATTTTGTGATTGTGTTGTAATAAACGTTTTCTTTCGGACTATGTTAACGGCCATTATAATAGTCGGTTCGTTTTTACCTTCATTAACACAAACAATATAAGTTTGGGGCGAAGACGTCTTTTACTCACATACATCATTACATTTACAGGTCCTGTGTTTGTCCTTAGAGTTAACATGGTTTGTTTTAGAGGTGAGAGGGGGAGTAAGCAAATGAGTGAGTTAGGGAATGAGTGAATGAGCGAGAGACGGAGTGTATGAATGAGTGAGATGTGGAATAGTGAATGAGGGAGAGAGGGAGTTAGTATATGAATGAGAGCTGGGGTGAGTGAATGAGCTAGCGAGCAAGTGAGAGGGAGAGAGAGAGAGAGAGAGAGAGAGAGAGAGAGAGAGAGAGAGAGAGA